GGCGATTTTGCTTCCCCCCACACCTAAGAGGCGCCACAGGAAAAATGTGTATCACTGCCGTCCACGAGGTGGGAAGGGGGCGGGGGTTCCGTCCCTTCTCCTCCGCCTCCTGTCCCTTCGCGGCGGCCTCGGAGGACGGGGAGGGGGAACAACAAGAAACAAAGAACTCTTGGCGAGTGTTTCTTGGTTGGTTCCCCCCCCTCCCGAGAGGCGCCACGGGAGGAATGTGGTTCACTCCCTTCACGAGGGGGGAAGTGGGGTGGAAGCTTCGTGCTTTCATCTCCGCCTCCTCCTGTCCCTGACTCCCTCTCCTTCTCTGCCTCAGTTCTTCCCTTGTCGTCCCCTCCTCCTTTGCTTCTTCCCTCCTCGTCGCTCCGTCCTCCTTCGCCTCTCCCCTCCTCGTCTTCCCCTTCCTTCTCCGCGCCCCCCAAAACCGCCACCCCATAATCCACCGTACTGTTGCTTCCAGGGTGCCTTGGGTCTCTTGGGTTTCGATGGTTTTGCTGTGGAAAGCGTGGCGTTCCCACACCAAGAATCAATGGACGCCCTGGTGTCTCAGGGTTGGGTCTCTTGTGGAAGGTTTCTTGTGGTCGAGCTCATACTGTGCACTCGTTTTTTCTTGCGGCCCTAGCGGCCAGAGGGTTTGTTGCAGGATGGAAGACGTTCCCCTCCTCCCCCTCTCCTCCTGCCCTTCATTACTCCCACCCACCCTTTTTCTCCCATCCTCCACGCCCTCCTCTCTCGCACATGCCGTCGCCGCTTCTGCTGTTGCCGTTGCCACGCTTGCCACCGTCGCCGCCGTCGGCGTCGTCGTGGCCGTCGCCACGGAAGTCGTCGCTGCTGTCGTCGCCGCTGTCGCAGGTTGTTGTCGTAGCCGTCGTCTTCGCCGTTGTCGCCGTTGTTGCCGTCGCAGCCGCCGCCGTCACGGAAGGTCTGCGCCAGCGGCCCCACGTTGGCCGTCGGCCTCAAGTGGGGCGGCGAGCTGACGCATGCGGGCGCGGAGAGGGCAGAGGTCCCTGGTTTCTCTCCGTCGCGGTCGTTTTTGTTCTACCGACGTTGTTGCCGTTGCCGTTGTCGAAGTGGCCGTTGGAGGGAGGAGGAGGGGGAGGGGGAGTGGGGGGAGGATGGAGAGGAGGGGGACGGAGGATGGGAGGAGGAGGATGGGGAGGAGGAGGAGGGGAAGGAGGGGAGAAGGGGAGGGGGAGGAGGGGAGAGGAGGAGGAGGAGGAGGAGGAGGAGGAGGAGAGAGAGGAGGAGGAGGGGTAGGAGGAGGGGGGGGGGGAGGAGGAGGAGGAGGCGGAGGCGGGAGGTGGTGAGGAGAGGAAGGAAGGGGGCGGAGGGGGAGTGGAGGTGGGAGGTGGAAGGAGAGGAGGAAGAGGAGGAGGAGGGAGGGGAGGGTGAAGGGGAGGGGGAGGGGGAGGGGGAGGGGGACTGGGACGTCAAGCGAGAGCCGAGAACGGTCGACAAGAGCAAGCGAACGCTGACACGATGCGTCCGTCGCCTTAGCGCTTCGCGGGCTGCCGGTGTGGCGCTATCGTTGCGGAGGGCCTCTCCCCGTGCGCCGCGCCCCAGAGGACGGCGGCGGGGACTCGCCCAGCACCTCCCGCCGCGGAGGAGGAGCGAGGAGCGAGTTGCACTGATGATTGATGTCATGGTCCTGTTTTCAGCGTATAATTGGGAATGCGTCTGTACGCGCCAGGGGCTCCGCATTTGGCGTGTATCCTGCGTGGTGGGTGCTTAGCGTACACCGGAGGGCTGGTTCACCCGACCCCCTACTCAGGGTGTGCGCCCCTGCGCTGCTTAGCGTGTCAACGGCTTCAGTTTCGCAGGGCCCGAAATCACACGTTATGAGAGACATGTTGGAGGCCTCGCGCGACGCGTAATGATTGTATAATCTAGTCCACACGCCAGCTCTGCCGTTGGCGGAGAACGCACCCATCCACAGACGTTGCTTCGACGGTGCCGCACCTGGACCCCTCATTTCAATGTTGCGTTCGCGGCCGTTGATGGAGTCCAAGCATCGGCATTAAATAACGCCCAAAACTACACCGCCAAGGCAACCCCGTTTCAACATTGCAATTGGGGGGCACGGGGATTCTGAACGCAGTAGCGTTGTCCATTACGCATGGTGGGCGTTTTTACGTTAATGGCGTATCTATGGAGGACAGCGGGTCACGCGGAGACAGAAGCCATGGCGCACGCCGACTGGCAGGACGCCCCGCAGCGAGCGCTACAGTGGCTTTAAAGCAGCTGGCGTCAGCATGCGGAGTGTGGAGATCCGTGCGTAGTTGTTGTGGCTCAGGCCACCCTGGCTGTTGATGACCACGCCTAGGCCCCCAGCACAGATGACCCGGATCTTGTATGATAGAAGCTGGGATTGCACCTCTGAAGATCGGCCGATGGTGGGGACGAATTTCAATCACAGGCAGGCCGCCCACTTTGGGGGGTTGTTGCGGCCCGGCAGGCCATGCGGCGCGACTCGCTTCCACCAATCGATGCATCTGGTGAGGAGAACGAGGCTCAGAGCTAGGCCGCTGGGAGGTGGCGCGGCTACGCATGGAAAGTGTGGGGGCACGGCAGCTCGCTGAGGCTCAAGCCCGCGGGTTGCACGGCTTGTCACGAATAAAACAAGTAACATCCAGAAGCATGGTTTCTGGACGCCTCGCGTATCCACACCAGCCCATCCAGACACGATGCTGAGACGAGTTGCCCACATCAGGGATGTGGAGGAGCCTGCAGTGGAAGAGAGAGTTGGGTAGGGCGTCATACCCCAAGAGGGGGAGGATCGACGAGGAATCGGAGGAGCAGGATGAGGAGAAGCAGGGAGAGGAGGAAGGGCAGGAGTGAGGAGGAAGGAGGAAGAATTGTCGGCTGAGGAATTGTCGGCGGAGGCCTCTTCGGGCGTCTTGGGTGCCTCTGGGAAGCCTCTTGGCGGTCTCTGGCCTCTTGGGGGTATCTTTGGGGCCTGTTGGGGACCTCTTGGGGCCTCCTGTGGCATCTCTTAGGGTCGTCTTGGGGCACCCTTGGGAGCCTCGGGGGCTATCTTGGGGGCATCTTGGAAGAGATCGATCAAAGTAGAGGGGCTCCTTGATTAGGGCCGAAACCGTAGTAGAATCATTGCTCTTGGCCTCATCGTCGAGGCTTCTCGGGGCGTCTTGGGTGCATCTGGGAGGCCTCTTGCGGGCCTCCTGGGGGCTCCTGAGCACCTTGTGGGGCCGTCTTGGGGCACCGTGGGGAGCCTCGGGGACCATCTTGGGGCCATCTTGAAGGAGATCGATCAAAGTAGGGGGGCTCCGCTCCCCCCCAGGGGGCCAAAATGTGACCAAACCATAAAACAATCAATGATGTCAGCCTTCTCGCCGAGGCCTCTTGAGGCGTGTCGGTTGCCCCCGGGAGGCCTCTTGGGGCTCTCTTGGGAGCCTCCTGCGAGCCTGTTTGGGGCATCTTAGGCGCCTCTTGGGGGTCTATTGGGGCCTCCTGGGCACCTCTTGGGGCCGCCTTGGGGCATCGTTGGGAGCCTCGGGGGCCATCTTGGGACCATCCTGGATGTGATCGACCAAAGCCGGGGGAGGTTCCGGTTACGCCCCCCCCAGGACACCACAATGTTGCCCAAACCATCATGAAATAAAAGATATGGCTTGCTCGCCGTGGCCACCTTGGACGCTCCAACCCCTCGCGAAGGGCCCTCCCCATCCAGGCCCTGGGGCTGGCGTTCCGCGGCGAGATGTACCCGAACGAGGACATCGACGAGCTGCACGCCACCCTGCGGCACGACGTCAAGGTACGTCGTCCTACGTCGTCCTCGTCGGTGAAACCGTGGGGGAGGAGGAGGAGCAGGAGAGCAGAAGGAGGACGGCGACGATGAGGTGGAGGAGGAGGATAGCGAGGAGGATCAGGAGGACTAGTGTCAACCCAAGACGCATCAAAGATGTTGTAATAAGCCCTCCCTGCAGGTTCCTTCTTAATTGGTCCCACACGCATTTGTTCTCATTGTGGGAAGTGCCCCACTGGGAGACAACCACCTGAAAGTCCTCATTTGTGCCAAAGACCGTTGTTTGGACTTCAACGCCACGAATCAACGTGACTGTTGCGTAGCGCCAATCCAGAATCGTGTCAGACCAGCATTTCTGGGACAACACTACGAATTAATGTGACTGTTGCGTCCTGACAGTCCTAGATCGCGCCAGAATGCCACTACTGGGACTTCAACTGCACGAGTCCTTGACACGGTTGAGAACGTTTAACACGAGTGCGCGCGAGGCTAAGGAGAGAGCCACACTAGGAACCGCCCTCCATCCTTGAAGCTGCTGCAAGCGTGAAAAGCGAAGGTGCGCGGCGCCAAGGCAAGAGCCACATTTTGAACACCAGCCGCCCTCCCTCCTTGAATATGCTGAACGAATGTGCACTGAGCAAAGGCAAGAGCCACATGTTGACAACGATCCGCCCTCCATCCTCAAAGCTGTTGCAGGCTGCAGGACGATGAATGGTGAAGAAGTCTCAGGCAACATGCACGGCCAGGCCTACCGACACACCGAGTGGTGCGGCAGGGAGAAGCTATGTATGAGGAGAGGGGACGGCATTGGCATCCAGCTGCCTGCGTCAAGTCCAGCCATCGTGCCAGCCTAGCACTCCAGATGGCGACTGTTCGAGGGCGGGAGAGCCGTGACGAGGACGATGTTGATAGCGACGACCATGAAGATGATGAAGATGAGGTTGATGCTGTTGATGATGATGTTGAGGTTGATGACGATGGTGGTGTTGATGGTCATGCTGTTGATGTCGATGGTGATGTTGCTGCTGACGATACTGACGTTGAGGGAATTCAGGTTGAGGATGCGGATGAGGATGGTGTTGGTGGTGGTGATGATGGTGCTTACGATGAGTGTGATGATGACGACGCCGCCGCCGACGACAACGATGGCGATGGGGATGATAAAGATGCTGCTGGGCACGATGATGACGATAGTGGTGATGATGAGGAGGATGAGGATCAATATGAATGTGAAGGTGCAGATGATGACGACGATGATGATGGTGATGAAGATGACGATAACCATGACGATGACGATGACGATTACGATGACGAGGGCGATGATGGTGATAACGATGATCATGGTGATGATGACGATGATAGTGGTGGTGATGATGATGATGATGATGATGATGAGTGTGATAATGCTGATGATGATGGTGCCGTTGACAGTGTTGGTTATGAGTGATGACGGCGATGGTGATGCTGTCGATGACGAGTCTGATGATGATTATGAGGGTGATGATACTGATGGTGATCATGATGATTAGGGTTACGATTGTTTTTTGAATAATGATGATGATGATGCCGATGATGGTTGTGATGATGATGATGATGTTGATGATACTGATGGTGGTGGTGATGCTGATGCGGCTGGTTATGAGTGCAATGACGATGGTGGTGGTGGTGGTAACGAACATGATGGTCGGATGACGATGCTGCTGATGCTGCTGATGATGATGTGAATGCTGATTATATTGGTGATGTCAGTGATGATGATTGTTTACAGGAGGTTGGTAATAGTAATGATGATGATGCGGCAGCTGGGGAGGAGGAGGAGGAGGAGGAGGAGGATGCTGCTCCTGATGATGATGCTGGTGATGATGATGATGATGATGATGATGATGATGATGGTGATGGTGATGGTGATGATGATGCTGATGACGATGATGATGCTGCTGATGATGATGCTGCTGCTGCTGCTGATGATGATGATGATGATGATGATGATGATGATGCTGATGGTGGTGGTGGTGATGATGCTGACGCGGAGGAGGCGGATGAGGAGGAGATGCAACCGGACAAGAAGGAGGACGACCAGGAAGAGGAAGAGGATGACCGTCACATGTGGTGCACCCCGTCTTCACTACTTGACGCGCCCTCATGAAACTAGCTTTGGCCGTCTTTGGGCTGTCGGGGCCTCCTGTCACAGGAGGCCCCGACTGCCTCATTGGCTGTGAAGCAGTCTAGTGGGCCCCTTGAAGTCCACTTGAGCCCTCTTGGGGCAATTTTGCAACACGTTCGTGCTCTGTTGTGCCGTCTTGGCCGTCTGCTGGGCGTCTGGGGGCCGTCTTGTGCAGTCGAACTGCAAGGTTGTTTGGGGTCCCACGGAACGCCTTCTTGGGCCGTCTTGGGGCTGTCTTGGATGCCTATTGGGCCATCGTGGGACTTCTTGAGCCACGTTGGGACCTTCTTGGGGGCCTCTTGGAGCCGCCGTGGAGGCGTCTTGTGCCGTCTTGAGCTGACGGGAGCCCGAAAGGGCGAGAATGCGAATCCAATTCAACCACTCAAAGAACATCAATGATGTTGGATTATTCGGGTTTTGGTAGAGGTCCTCGTATGGCCCTTGCGGGTCCTCTTGGAGACATATTGATCCGTCTTGAGACCATCTTGGGCCGCCTTGGGTCAATGTTGTGCCGTCGTTGGGGCATTTTGGGCCACCTCGGTGTCCCTGGTTGCCTGCCTAGGCCGTCTTGGAAAGTCGGGGGGCGAGGCTCCATCGTTTGTTCACGACGTCGGAAAGGGGGGCCGTGCATGAAACGAGACGCGAGCAGGGGGGGGCGAATCAGAGTCCAGGAACCCCACCAGGCAGAACTTGGCAGTCTTCCACGCCTCAAGGTGCGCAATGAGCGGTAGATTTGAGGAGGACGTCGGCAAAGGATGGCGACGAGGAGGAGGAGAGGGAATCTGAAGAATCTGAGAAGGACGGTGACGACGGCCACTTTGATAAAAAATAGGTCGTCGAGGAGGAGGACGGAGAGGCGGAGCACTGTTTCTTCGATGACGCTTGCGGGACGGATCAGGAGGAGGAGAGCTAGGATGGTGAGGAGGGGCAGGAACAAGAGATGAGGACGATGACGAACCATATCATGTTTTCTTTTAGGGGGAGGAGGAGGAAGAGGAGGAGGGGGGAGGAGGAGGATCCTGGCTTTCCTGGCTCGGCTGATGGCCGATGTCACTTGCGCCAGGATCCAGTATCAGTTTCGACTTGCTATATCGGCCGCGCTCCCTTATTGTTTTGTCCTGTCCGTGACTCATTTGATGTTTGTTTCGAAGACCGGCATTTCGGAAGGTGATGATGAGCGTGGTTGTGATGATGATGATGATGTTGGTTATGATGATGATGTTGACGCTGATGATGTTGATGATGATGGTAATGGTGATGGTAATGCTGATGATGATGATGATGATGACGACGACGACGACGACGACGACGACGATGTTGATGATGATGATGATGATGATGATGATGATGATGATGGTGAGGATGAGGATGAGGATGAGGATGATCATGATGATTCCGCTACTCATGATGTTGCCGCTGACGATCGATTTGAACATGTCCAATGGTGATGTTTGTGATGATCTTGACAATGTTGGTTGGGCTGGCCATGACGATCACGGTGATGATGCCGATGACGGCGATTGCGATGTTATGGAGGAAGGCGAGGGCAAGGAGGACAAGGCATACGTAGGCGGAAGAGGACGACAAGGAGGAAGCTGATGAGGAGGGAGGAAGCTGGATGAGATGAAGCTGTGTTATTTTGAGGAGGATGCTGTGGGGCTTGGCCAACGAGAAGACAGAGGGGGGGAGGCGAGGTGGACGAGGGGTGGGGGTTGGAGATGGAGAGGCTGATGGGCGACTGGGCCTGGCGACAGGGGGCGGACGAGAAGGGGGGGCGGACGAGGCGAGGGGGCATCCCCCCCCTCCCTCCCCTCGGCCCCAGAGCCTGGCGGAAAGCGCACCCGCCACAAGGTCTACTCCTCGAGGGACAGACGGTGCCAGCAGACCGCGGCGGCCTTCTGCAGGCCTTGCCGCTCTTGCCGAGAAAAGGCCAGCATGAGCAGCAGCGCTCGGAGGTCGGCGCCGATCCACGACAGCCGCGCGGACCTCCGGGAGTCTGTGCTCATGCCGTGCGTTGGCTCCGCTGCAGTGGGAGCTCATGCCAAGAAGCACCCGGGTTGCCTCCAGGGTGCCCTGGGTTTCTTGGGTTCTTGCTGGGCTTGCCGCGGAAAGCGTGACGCTCCCACGCCGAAAATCCAGAGACGTCCTGGGGTCTCGGGGTTGGGTTTCTTGTGTCGAAGAACAAGAAACGCTATAAACATCAACTCTTGGCGATCCGGGCGGATTTCTGGGATCCGCGCTGGGCCCCCTGGCGGCGCCTCCGGCGCCGCCTCTGGCGCGCTCCGCGCGCCAGGGAGGGGGGCCCAGCGCAGATCCAAGAAGTCCGCGTGGAGCGCCAAGAGTTTATCTTTATGGCGCGTTTATGTGGTTGAGCTCCTGCTGTAGCTGCCCACCTCATCCCGCAGCTCCTCGCTCACCCCCCTCCTGCTGCCGCGGGCCTCGCGCCTCCATCCCTCGCCCTCCCGCCTCGGCGCCTGCGCTGCCCTCCTCCTGCCCCCCTCCTCGCGCCCCCGGTGCCCAACCTCCTCTTCATGCCTCGAACGAGAATAGGGAACAACCGCATACAGTATAACATCAAGACGCACACACATGTGTGTATATATATAAGTGCGTTTGCACATATATATATATATATATATATATACATATGTATGTATATGTATATGTAAATGTATATGTATATGTATATGTATATGTATATGTTCATGTATATGTGTGTATGTATGTATGTATGTATGTATGTATGTATGTATGTATGTATGTATGCATGCATGCATGCATGCATGTATGTATGTATGTATGTATGTATGTATGTGTGTATGTATGTATGTATGTATATATATATATATATATACACACCCGTGCACGAGGCCCCGGCGCCCGGGGCCACGACCTGGAGCGGGCACGGGGGGACCGGGGCCTCCGAGACCGCTCCCAGATCACCCCGGAGGGGCCGTGGAGCCCCCAGACTGCCCCAGAGAGCTCCAAGACGCTCCCAGAAGCCCCAGGGGACTTCAACCAGCCCCTCCAAGGCAGCCCAGATAGCCCCAACGTGGCCCAAGCTAGGCTCCAGACCGCAAATGCACAGCCCAAGAGGCTCCCAAGAGGCCTCAAGAGACCTCCGAGAGGCGTCCCGAGAGAGCCCGAAGAGGCCCAGGTCCTTCATGTCCATTGTTTTTCCTGTTTTTCGGTGTCTCGCGCTTTCGACCTTCCAACGCTCCCCGGCCGCCGACGACGCCCCCAAGACCGCCCCAAGATCGCCGAAGAGGCCCCCAACCGAGCCCCAAGACGGCCCCAGGGAGCTCGAAAATTGCCTGGGACGAGCCTTATACGGCCCAAGAGAGAGAGCACCAGGACAAGCCCAAGCTGGGTCCCAGAGCGGGAGCGGGAGACCCCAAGGCGCTCCAAGACGGCCCTGATGGCCCCAACGTGCCCCAGATAGGCCCGACACGGCCAATACAGAGCCCAAGAGCCCTCCAAGAGGCCCCAAGAGAGCTCCGAGAGGCGTCCCGAGAGAGCCCGAAGAGGGCCATATCCTTGTTTCCGGTCGTTTCTTCAAATGTGTTTCGCTTTCTCGCGTTCTCGAGCTTCCAACGCTCCACGACGGCCGAAGACGCCCCGAAGATCGCCCCAAGACCGCCGAAGACAAAAAGAGCCTCGGAGAGCCTGAAGACTACCCAAGAGCAGCCCAAATCTGCACAAGAGAACCCCAGGAGAGGCACAAGATGGGCCCCAGAGCGAGAGCGGGAGGCCCCAAGGCGCTCCAGGACGGCCGAGATGATTCCAACGTGGCCTAAGAGGAGGTCAAGACGGCAAGCACAGCCCAAAAAGCCTCAAAGAGGGCCCAAGAGAGCTCCGAGAGACGTCCCGAAAGAGCCCAAGGAGGCCCCAATCATTGATTTGCATTGGCGTGCTCGATGTTTTACGCTTTCTCGCGTTCTCGAGCTTCCAATGCTCGAAGACGGCCGCAGACGCCCCCAAGACCGCCCCGAGACCGCCGAAGAGGCACCCAAAAGAGCCCCAAGACGGCCCCAGGGAGCCCGAAAATAATCCAGGAGGAGCCCCAGACGGCCCAAGAGAACCCCAGGACAGGCCCAAGCTAGGCCACAGAGCGGGAGCGGGAGGCCCCAGAGCGCCCCAAGACGGCTCAGACGGCCCGGGCCTCCCCCCTCCGTCCCTCCTTCCCTCCCGCCCCCTCCCTTTGCCTCCATTCCCTCCTCTCTCCTCTTCCTCCCCTCACCCCTCAGGTTTCGTGCTCCTCCCTCTCCTGGGACGGCCCCGCTCGAGCGCCAGACAGGCCCCGCCAGAGCGAGCGGGGCATCGCTATACCCTATCATTTCACAAGTTCCTTTCCCCCTCCCTCCCCTCAAAGGCGACCCTGGCAGAGCGAGAGCGTTCTGACTACGCGTTTCTTTGCGTCGATGGCATGGGCCCGAGAGCGCTGGAAATTGTCGTTGTGACCACAGCGTGGCTTACAGCGGCAACCGTGCCCCGTCTGCGACTAGAACCTAAGCGCGCGCGTAGCGCGCGCGTGGTTCTAGTGTATATGTGTGTATGTATGTTTGTATGTACATATATATAAGAAGTTATGGAAAAAAGGAAGAGAGCAACCATGACATCCGGAGGTCCGCGCATGTTTTTGTTGGGGGCCCGTGCCGGACCCTCCGCCCTGGCGCGGGGTCCAGAACGATTCCGCTGCAAGAGATCCGCAAAAGACCCTCCGAAGGACCAGGTTCACATGCCGCTCGTTCGTTTTGGCCTTCGATTCTAGTCTTCCGATCACGACCAAATTCTACCCATGCGGGTCCAATCGACGCTGGGGTATCGAATCCCCCCCGCTCGACTTCACTGGGCTGCAGGTCGATTCTGGACCCCAGCCGGCGCGTATGAAATCTAACCTGCACCGGGAGGGTTCACGTGCGGTTGCCTACCTCATCCTGCGCTCCAGGGGCATGATGAAGATCATGGTCGATAAGCCCACCCATTTCGCCCTTCCGCCGATCATCGCCGCGCTGGTGCGCACGGACGGCGGGGCGCTGGTGCTGCTTTCGCGGGCGCTGCTTCTCTTTCGACGCCAACGACGTCGCGTCGTCGTCGTCGACGACGGCGACGTCGTCGTCGACGTCGACATCGACATCGACGTCCTCGATTGTCGTTGGCTTTTGGCGTGCTTTCCCCCGCCCTCCCTCCCTCCTCTACGCTCCCTCCTCGCCAGAGGTCGGTGTCATCCCTCCTCCTCCTCCTCTTCGTCGTTGTTCTCTTCGTCCTCCTCCTCCTCCTCTCCTCCTCCTCCTCCTCCTCCTCCTCCTCCTCCTCCTCCTCCTCCTCCTCCTCCTCCTCCTCCTCCTCCTCCAGCGCGAGCGGAAGCGACGGCAGGAGGGGGAGGAGGACGAGGTCTCCGGAGAAGGAGCATGAGGAGGAGGAGGAGGAGGAGATTTCCACAGGTCTCCAGAGGGGGAGGGGAATGCCCCACGACCCAGGAGTGGTCGGAGGAGGAGAAGGGGGAGGAGGAGTTCGAGGAGGAGGAGGGCTGGGAGGCGCAGGCGGGAGGAGCCCCTCCTCTCCCCAGGACGGCCGCCTGGAGGGCGTGAACAACTACGCCGCCGAGGACGAGCAGCGTGCGCGAGTGGACAGCCTGGGGCGTGCGACGCTAAGCTTAAATCGGGCGTGTCCGTCTACAGGAGGAATCGTCAAACATAGTCTTGAAAAAAACATCTGGGGCCGATATTTGATTATCTGCTGACTTGTTTGGGGCATTGTTTGCATATTTTTAATTTTCCGCCCAAGATCCGCCTGTACGTAGGGGGACATGCCCGACCTGACACTAAGCATCCTCGCCCCGCTCGGCCCCATCTTCCTCATCGATCGTCGAGCATCGAGGCCCTCCAACGCTCTGGACCCTCCAGGGGTAGTCGGGGGGCATCAGTGACCTCTGGAGGCCCCGGGGGCCTCCCGGGTCCCAGATCTCTTACGTGCACGGCGGACCGATTTGTTTCATCCTGAACCCACATAGGGTTACACACACACACACACACACTTGGTATTCCTCAATATGTGCACAGGTGTTTTTCGCACTCTATTAACGTCCTCCTCAAGCCCCGGTCGGGGGTGGACAGACCTCCTACCCTGACACGTCGATTAAGGAATTGGCCGTTTTTGGTTCGCGAGAGGGCGTCGCGGCCGTCATTTTTGCGGGTCCAGGTCCGGTTTCGGTCCCAGGCCGTTTTCATTACGGGGAGGTTTACTAAAGGGAGGTTTGTCCACCGCCGATTTTCGCACTCTACTAACGTCCTCATCAAGCCTCGGCTTCGTCGAAAATTTTTGAACAGCCGGGGAACGACGCGTCCAGTAGTCCACGCGGCTGTCCACCCGTGCCGCAGCCCGCGCAGGTTGAGGAGGAGAGCGCACCAGAGCCGATCCCCGTGGATGCGCCCTGGAAGGACTGCTGGTCAAAACTGGGCTCGCAGATCATCTCACCTGTCGTCGTCGTCGTTTCCTCCTCCTCCTTCTCCTCCTCCTCCTCCTCCTTTATCGCTTATCACCTCCCTGCTCTTCCCATCTCCTCTTGCTTTACGGCCTCGTCCGCATCTCCCTGCACTATTTCTCCTCCCCCTCCTCCTCTCCCTGCACGTTCTTCTTGTTCTTACTCCCTCCCCCATGCCCGTTTTCTCTGCTGCTGCCTCCCTCCCTCCCTCCCCGTCCCCTCTTATGCCTGCTCTCCCCTGTTTACTCATTGTCTGTTTTTCCCATATTGTCCTCCGACCCCGTCCTTCTCCGCCGCATCTTCTTCCCTCTACGTTTCCTCATTTTCTACTGGCGCCCCTTTCCTCATGGAGTGCGCCTTCTGTCTTTTCCAGGGGCTCCCCCGAGAACTCAGATTCAGGGAGGGTCGTGCAGTCGTTGCACAGAGCATATGCGATTGCGTCGGACTTCCCTACCTCCTCCCCCTCTTCGTTAAAGCAGGAAGATGTTTGGTCACACCGTGGGTCTCTGGCGGCCATTCGAAATGATCCAGGCACCTTCGGAGCACGCTCGATCGGCGAGGCGCAGCTGCTGGAGCGCATCCGGAGGCCAGAAAACCTCCCGGAAGAGACGACGCGCGAAAATTGCGGGCGCGCCCCCGTTTCCTCCCTCTCTCCTCCCTCCCTTCTCACCGCCTCCGTGCTCGTGGGAGGATCGATTATCCCCAGGACGTACGTTCGCTCAATGTGCTTGTGCCCACTCAGCTCTAGCGATAGCACACAGCCTGTGTCGTGTCGGCTCTCGTTGCACCGCCTGCATCGTGTGGAAGGACCTCGGCGGACAAGCAAACGTTGGTGAGAACACGCGTTCTGAGGATCGTCATGCTCCTCGTCCTCCTCCTCCTCCTCGCCCTGCGCCATCCCGCCCCCTTCGTCATCCTCCTCGTCCTTCTCCTCCTCCTCCCTCCTTCTTCCTCCTCGTCCCTCCTCCTCGTCCTTCTCCTCCTCCTCCTTTCCTCCTCCTCCTCCTCCTTCTCCTCTCTTCTCCTCCTCCTCTCCTCCTCCTCCTCCTCTTCCTCCTCCCTCCTCCTCCTCCTCCTTCTCCCTCTCTCCTCCTTCCTCTCCTCCTCCTCCTCCTCCTCCTCCTCCCTCCTCCTCCTCCTCCTCCTCCTCCTCCCCCACGTTCTAAGGGTCGTAGTCCCCCTCCTCCTTCTCCTCCTCCTCCTCCTCCTCGCCATGCGCAATCTTGCCTCCCGTGCTCGCGAGAGGAGCTGGAGGCCCGCCTGGGCGGCTTCCGCGTGCCCGAGCTGCTGCTGGCCTTCGGCACCGCGGAGTCCCCCGCGTCCCCCGCGCCGGCGCTGCGGGCGCTGCGCGGGCACCTGGAAGAGCTGACCGAGGCGCCAAGGGGCCCACAGCCGTTGACCAACCTCCGAGGCACGGATTCATTCACAACCGCCGCCTGTGGGACCGATCGCCGCGGGCCCCCACAGTATCCACACCCACCGCCCGCTGGGGCACCCGGACGTCGGTTCCCAGGCGGTGGATGTGGATACATCTCCGCCTCACACAGCTGCCATGTTCAGGGGCAGCTGTAGGGGTGGGAGAACGGGCGGGCTCGGGGCGCTGCGCGGGCACCTGTAAGAGCTGATCGAGGCAGGGTCCTGTTCGATCCGATCGATGGGGTTCGACATCGATTCCGGCCAGCTCGAGCCGATTCGAGTTCCGCTTTCCGTCCCTCCGGCGCGGCCGATGTTTACATGGTGTTGCTGTACATCCTGGCGCAGCCGATCGGGTTCGATTTCAACTCCGTGTCGACGCAGCCCGGTCCGACGCGGAGGTTGATGAGATCCGACATCTCGGTCCGATGCTGACTGATCCTATCGAGGCGCCCAGGGGCCCAGAGCCGACGACCAACGGCCATGGTCAGGGGCATCATTTCAAGAGCTGACCGAGGCGCCCAGGGGCCCAGAGACGCCGACCAGCGGCCATGGTCAGGGGCAACGTTAAAGGGGGGGGGGGACTCAGGGGGCACCGTCAGGGGGGAGGGAGCGCGGTGGTGGTTCGAAGTTGGAGGTTTTCAGAAGCGTTCGTCCGCTCCGCATGAACAAGTCACGGCATCGGATGTCCGGAGAGGGAGAAAGCTTCAGTGGTTCTATAGGGTTCGGTTTCTCTCCAGGGGGATGTTCGGGGCGCCAGAGTCTGTCCCAGATCATCCGTATTATCCGCATCCGTTCTCCTCCTGGCTCCGAGGTCACATGATGTTTGTCCAGTCGACCTTCAAGAGCAGTGGTTTCATGGATGCGAGGGCCCATGTGCCCCTTCCGAATTGGCAGGCTCGTTCCTACCTCAAGGGCATCTGCAACACACTACAGTCCTCCCTCCCCCTCCGTCCCCCCTCCAGGGGAACGAACAACGACATAAACATAACAGCCCGGAGGTCCGCGCGGATTTCTCGGATCGGCGCTCGACCCCCCTAGGGGCGGCGCGGGAGGCCACGCCTGGGAGCCCCAGCGCAGATCCGAGAAATCCGCGCGGACCTCAGAGTTTTTTATGTTTAAGTCGTTGTTCGTTCCCCTAATGTCCCCCCCCCTACCCCCCCGGGGCTGATGAATAGACCCCGCGAGGCGCGATACTTGTTTAATCACGCGCGCCAGGGGGAAGGGGGGGAAGGAGGAGAAGGAGGAGGACGAGGAAGAGGAGGAGGAGGACGAGGAAGAGGAGGAGGAGGAGAAGGAGGAGGAGGAGGAGGAGCAGGAGGAGGAGGAGGAGGAGGAGGAGGAGGAGGAGGAGGAGGAGGAGGAGAGGGAGGAGGAGGAGCAGGAGGAGCAGGAGGAGAAGGAGGAGGAGGAGGAGGAGGAGGAGGAGGAGGAGGAGAAAGGGGGGGTTGCAAAGCCTGCTGCGCGCAGCTGGTTTCGGTCGCCCCGCCAAAGGGCCGCTTTCGGCGCCAGGAGGCGCTTGGAAAGTCAGCGACGTGAGCTGCTCCGCAAATCCCCCCTGTGCTGCGCCCCACTTTCGTCCAGCCCGCCTTGCCCGCAGGCCCGCATCGGTTCGACAGAAAGAGGGGCGCCTTGGCTCGCCCTTGCCTCCACCTCCCCCCCGTTGCACCTCGTTGGCGGCCTGGCGTCGGCGCCAATCACCGGCGCCGCCCCGGTGATTTTCAATCTGGCGGGCGCCACCCCGCGATTCGCCCGAGCAGGGGACTTTTTTGTACACGCGCCCCCCACGCATTTGTTAATTACCAGCTGACGTTACCCTAGACGGTGCAAATGTGCAGGCGGGCGTCGTGCCCCGACCGTCCTTCTTACCGTCCCTCCTCCCTCCCGCCTCCCTTCCCGCTCCCCCCCCTCTCCCCCCCCGCCTGCTCCTGCTTCTCCTGCCACCGCTCCTCTGGTCCCCGTCGGCGGTGGGACGACGCCGAGGAAAAACAACTGCAGAAACATACGTTTTCCAGGAGGGAAGAAACAGACACAATTCATCGTCGATTCTTCGCAGAACATCGGAAAGTATGGTAAGCGGAGGGTGGGAAAACGAAAATCAAAAATCCTGGGAGAAGACAGGGGAGTCCTGGGATTTGTGTGTATCCATTGGTGTGTTCCTGGGCCCCTTCGTTTTGTCCGAGGAGCGCGCCAGGGCTGGCGCCGGAGGCACCGCCAGGGGTTCCACTGCCGATCCAGGAAATCCTTGCGGACCTCGCGACATTCACACTTATGCTACACATGTGTTTCTGTGACGGCGAGAGGGGAGACATCGCCAGGAAGCGAACGGGGCTTGAGGGAAAGGGGTCTTGAGGTTCTTCCCCGCTTTCGAGCTTCAACGGCGGTCCCACCGTCCCGTGACCGCAGAGGACGAAAACCTAGTCCCAAAGGGGGGCCTTGGGCTCTACGGTGGGAAAGGTCCGGGTCCCAATTGGACGGTTGACATGTCAACTGGGCGGTCTACATCCCGACCAGGACCAGTAGTAAAATTGCAACGGTCCAGGTCCCAACCATTCTTATTTAATGTTCCAAGTGGTTGGTCGGCGCTACATAATTAGGCGCTAGCAACCTTGAGGTCGCCCTCTCGGCTTCGTGCAGGATTCCCGTGATCTCCTCTGCGGCTTCCTGGGGGGCTCCTGAGGATTCGGGAGGGATTCCCGAAGGATCCCCGAGGGATCCCTGAGGATACTCAAGGACGTTTTGAGGATTCCAGAAGGAATCCTGACATATCCCTGGGGGTTCCTAAGGGCTCTTAGGGGGTTCCAGACGGGTTCCTGAGGATGCCTGGGGGATTTCAGCAGATGTTTTAGGCATCCCTGAAGCGTCCTCAGGGATCCCAGAAGGTTCTTGGGGATTCCGAAAGGGTTCCTTTTTAAGATTCCTGGACATTTCTGTGGGATTCCTCTGGAATCCTCAACGGTGTCCTAAGGATTGTGGAGGATTCTTGGGAAAGTTTTGAGAGATTCCGGAGGATTTCTCTGAAGCTTTATGAGGACTTCTTGAAGATTTTGGAGTAATTTCCTCTATTGCTCGTTGAATGATCCGGGGGGGTTCTTCTAATGTTTCCTGATGAGTCCTTGAGGACCCCCGCAAGTTTCTCAAATATTCCTGAGGAGTATTGAGTGATTCCGAACGATTTCTTTTGGAATCTTCAGGGGTTCAAGAGTAGTTTTTTTAAATGACTCTTCACCATTCCAGGGATGCCTGAAGGAGTCCATAGGGTATCCCAAAATGGTTTGAGGATCGTAGAGGGCTCCTCAGGATTCATGGGGACTCTTCAAGGATCCCCGAGGGGTTCTGAAGGATCCCTGAAGGATCCCTGGGGGTTCCTGAGGTGTTGTGAGGGTTCCGACAGGATGAGGACGAGGAGGCGCAAGAGGGAAATTGTAGGCGGATGATTAGGTGGACGATGAGGGGGCGGAGCGAAATGACGATGTGGATGATGTTGATGATGTTGTTGATGATGATGGTGTTGGTAATCATGATGGCGGTGATCAGGATGGGGAGAGATTGGATGATGATGATGGTGATGATCATGGTCGTGATTCTGGTGGCGGTGGTGATAATGACGACGAAAACTGTGATGATGATGATGACGATGATGATGATGATGATGATGATGATGATGGTGATGGTGATGGTGATGGTGATGGTAATGATGATGCTGCTGATGTTGATTCTTATGATGACGGCGATGACGACGCTGATGATGATGATGATGATGTTGTTGATGATGATGATGATGATCATGACCATGGGAATGATTCTAGTTATTATGATGGTCATGGTGACGATGATGATGGTGATGATGGTGATGATGCTGCTGACGATGATGATGGCGATGCTGATGATGATATTGATGCGGATGATGATGCTGAGGAGGAGGATGGCGACGGTGAGGATGCTGGCGACGAGGCTTGTGAGTGTGATGGTAAGGGTGAAGAAGGTGATAATGATTATGATGCTGATGATGATGATTCTGATGTTCTTGCTGCTGATGGTGGGGAGGAGGATGGTGGTGGTGATGGCTCTGGTGATGCTGATGATGATGACGACGCCGATGATGATGATGATGATGATGATGATGATGATGATGATGATGATGATGATGATGATGATGATGATGATGATGATGGGTGTTCTTGAACTTTAATCCTGGAGCAGAATGAGTGCCGCTGGACAATGATGTCCATCTCGGATCTGCCATCCGCAGCCTTTTCTCTCGATATGCGGCCAGAGGAGGCCTTGATTTCATCGATCGCCCTCCTTTTGGCCGGGTTCGCCCTCGGTCCAGCCTCGCGCGGGCTCGCGCCCTCTGGTGGCGGGCAGCCACCACCCGATCCTCCGCCGGCCGCGGAGGCGCCATTGGAGCCAGAGGCGCCCTCAGCCGAGGCCTGCGCCGCCTGGGTCCAGCCCGCTCCGCCGTGCGTGGAGCCGACCGCGGAGCTGCGGCCGCCCTCCATCGAGGAGTGCGTCGCCCTGCTCCAGGAGTGCGCGGCGGGCGCCGGGCAGGAGCCGGGGCAGCAGCTTGCGTATCACTCGCGGGCTCGCTGTTCGTGGAGGCGCTTCGCGGGCTGCTTGCCGGGCCTGGGTGCCGCCGACGCGCCCTGGTGGAGCAGCCTCCGCCGGGGCACGGCCGGCGCCTTCTGTGCTGCCTGCTAGCAGCCGTGCGCACCAGCAGCCGCGGGGTTCGGGCGTCATCAAACGAATGAGGGTGATGAGCTTGTCATCGAGTATGCGGTCCACCCTCCGTTGCTGCTCGGCCGCACTGTGGTGGGTGAGTCTCAGATACAGCTTTTCGACGCAGTGGTGGCTACTCCCGACAACGGCCTGTACGTGGGAGAGCTGGAGCCCGCCAACACGGACATCCGCGCCTGGTATCGCAGGACTCCAGCCGGGGGGCCCCCGCCGGCCGCGGCAGCCGGGATCCTCGTGTACGACTTCGCGCAGCCTCTCATGCTCGCCGACTTCCACGCGCTGTGCCCTGCAGCCCTCAGACTCGTCGCCGAGCACGACGCCGCCCTGGGCGCCGCCGGGGCCGGCGACGCTGTCGTGCCCGCCGGGTTGGGCCCCGCCGTGGCCGCTGCAGCAGCTGCGCCCATCGCACCTGCCGCGGCAGCAGGGCCTGCATGCCTCACCGGCGCTCTGGCGCCTCCGCCCGTCCCCGGGGCTCCCGCTCCAGCATACATCGCAGCGGCTGCTGGAGCAGCTGGCGCCGCGGCCGCCTTTGGCCCAGCAGCACTCGCTGGAGGCGCCGGGCTTCCACCAGCCGCAGCAGGAGACGACTTCTGCACGCTGGCCGTCACCTACGATCAGGAGGGTCGACGCCACAAACAGTTCGGCGAGGGGGTCAGAGCCATGCGCCAGCAGATCTGGCCGGACTGGTTTGTGCTGGGCCCGTGTACGGTCTTGTGGTGCGCCAACTACATGCTGGAGGACGGCGGGTCGGCGGTGGGACAACACATCGCGTTCCGCTCCGCCTGCCGCCTCGGGTTGGACGGCCCCATCATGGTGCTTCGCTCCGAGATGTCGAAGATCTTCCAGACTGCTTTGTGCTACGAGATGCTGGACGCCAGCAACATCGCCGCCCTCTAACTCATCTGCCGCCAGATCCATTGGTGCGAGGAGAAGCTCAAGGACGTTCTGCTTGGGTCGTCGTACCCGGAAGGGCAGCATGACGAGAGCTTCCTTTTCACGGGGCTGCAGAACACTCGAGGGGTCATGGTGTGCCCGGCTCTCGCAAAGTGGTTTTCAGAACAGGTCGCCGCCGAGAACGCCGTGGCCAAGGAGTGCCGCAAGGCGTGGGAGGAGAGGGCGCTCGCGAGGCCGCCGCCGGGCCGCGGGCCGCGGCCGGGCCGCGGCAACGGCTCGTGAGCCGCGCGGCCGCTCGACAGGACAAGGCTGCTGCCCGCGCCCTGGCCGCGCGCGGGAGCTCCCAGTGCAGGCCTTTCGCTCCTGGCCCCAGATGGCGGCCAGTCGCCAGCGAGACATTTTCCCTCTCTCCCCGCTCGACGTGCCCGCCAGCCTGCCTGGTGGCTCCCGGGCTATTCAGCGACGGCGTCAGCGGCTTCAGCACAGCGCGAGGCTCGCCAACCACGCTATCGAGTCCCTCAACTTCATGGCTGGCCGTTCCTACGACGGGCCCGCCCAGCTGGACACGGTCACCCAGGCCCTCGCGAAGGAGCGCGTGCTGGGCAACTGCGTCGCGCTGGGGCCCAAGCCGCAGGACGTCAGCGCCCACGGGGGCCTTCGCGAGCTCTGTGGGAATGCCATTACATATGGCGACTCCTCCCCGGTCGTGCCCTACAACAAGGATCTCGTGTCCTGGCCCGAGACGGGCGCGGCGCCAGTGCAGCCGTCGGACGCGCTCGCCCCGGAGCACCACGCATGGTTGAGGGATCTATTGGCCAACTCGCGTCGCAGTAACGCTGACGCTGACCGCCTCAGGAAGGAGTTGGGCTTGGTGCGCCCTTACTCCGATCCTGCCTTCCGCACCATCTCCAACTACGCTGGCTTCGTCAAGCAGTTGCACTCCCGTGGCATGGTGCGTTTCGCCCTCGCCACCGGCCGGCCGCCGTCGCTGGGCATCTTCATGGTGGCCAAGAAGAGCGGCGCCCAGCGCATTATCTTCGACACGAGGTGGGCAAACCTGGACTTCACTCCTCCGCCTCGGACCCAGCTGCCGACGGCGGCCGCTTTCAGCCAGATCGAGTCAGCTGGCTGCGACGTCTGCTACTTCTCTGCCGGGGACATCCAGAACGCGTTCTACGCCATCGCCATCCCTGCCGAGCTGGGCGACGCCTTCAGGCTGAAGACGGTCCGAGCTGGTGCCGTCGGCTGTCCGGCCGTGGATGGCCGCCCAACCCGCCCGGGAGATCTTTTGACCCCGCATCTCGCCGTGCTCCCCATGGGCTGGAGCTGGGCGCTGCACCTCTGCCAGCTCGTGGTTGAGGAGGGCGCCCGACGAGGGGGCCTGCTCGCCGATCGGCTGCTCAGCGATCGCGCGGCTGCGGCGCCGCTGGCCCCCGCTGTCCTGCAGGGGGCTGTCTACGTCGACAACTTTCCGGTGCTTGGCGGGCCCCGCCAAGCCGTCGCCTCTACTGGGCGGCGAGTTGCGAGCGCCTTCTCCGACTCCGGCTTCGTGGTGCACGAGGAGACTGGCGTGTCGTCGAAGGTGAACTTCGTGGGGTTCGAGTTTGACGGTGTCGACCATACTGTGCGGGTCTCGCGGAGGCGAGTGTGGCGCCTGAAGGTAGCTCTGGCCGAGCTGCTCTCCCAGGGGCGCTGCAGCGGCGACGTCATGGAGATCCTGGTCGGCCACCTGACGTGGGTCATGCTGCTCCAGCGGTCCGCGCTCTCCGTCCTGTCCAGCGTGTACGCCTTTGCGCAGGCTGGCAAAGGGCGCGTGCTGGACCTGCGGCCTTCGGTTCGCCAGGAGTTGACGACGGCCATGGGCCTGCTCCCGCTGCTCGTCGCCCACGCCGACGCCGTCTGGCACAGTGTCGTCGCGGCCAGCGACGCCCCCCACTGGGGCTGCGGGGTGTGCCGCCGGCACTGCCAGGCTTCAGAGGCCGCTTCCTTCGGCCGGGCGGCGGAGCGCTGGCGCTACCGCGCTGCCGGGGCGGCCAACGCGCGCGCCCACGCCTTCCTCGCCGAGGGCGCGGCCCCGGACGTCGGCGCTGGCGCGGGCCCCGAGTCCGACTCGGCGCTCCAGGACGAGCAGCTTGGCTTCACCGCTGGACTGCTGCAGGCGCACGCGGACGCGTGCTCGTTCGACCCGGTCGACGCCGACTTCATGCATCCCAGCCGGTGGCAGGTGGTCCAGAGCTTCAAATGGGGGGCCGACGCAAACATCCTCCGCCTCGAGGGCTTGGCCCTGTCTTCGGCTCTTCGTCACCTGCTCCGGAGCCGCTCGGCTTTCGGGCGACGGCTGCTCGTCTTTGTCGACAACCTCGGGCTGGCTCTCGCAGTGGGAAAAGGGCGGTCCGGGGCCTTTCAGATTCGAGACGTCCTTCGAGAAGTCTGCGCCCTGTCTTTGGCCTGCGGGGTCAGGCTGTCTGTCCGATGGGTTCCGTCTGAGCGCAATCCCTCGGACTACCCCTCCCGAGGTCGTCTCTTCATCAAGCAGGCGCGCGACTCGGGCGCTTCGGCTGCTGCTCCTGGTGCGGTGGCTACTGCTGGCGACGCCGAGCCTCTGCCAGCCGCCCCGCCATTCCCGAGCCTCATCAAGGACGGCCCCAAGCACGACGCGGACCCTGCAGGCAGAGGCCCACACGTGGCAGGTGGGGCAGACTGCGATTCCCAGCGGGGTCCAGACGGCAGCGCGCCAGCGCTGCTTGCCGGTGCCCCCGTCGCCTTTCGCCCTCCCGACCCTGCAGCAGCTGACCTACCTGGAGGGGCGGTCGGTGAAGCCTGCGACGCACGCGGACTACCACCGCCGAGCCCTGGCCTCTGCCCAGAGGGCCACGGCGGCCCGCCAGGGTTGGGACAACTACGAGCAGCCGGACCTCTGCCTGGTGCCGTCCCTGGACAAGCTGCTCTTCGGGGGCTTCACGGGCGACGACGCGAGCAGGCTGGTCGCAGCGGTGAAGTTCTTCTACCCAGACCTGGGCCGCTGGGGCGCCGGGGCGCTCCCGTGCACATCGCGAACCCTGGCGGGATGGGGCAAGGTCGTGCCGCGCCGGTCGCGGATGCCCTTGCCTTGGGTCCTGCTGGCTGCGATCATCGGCGTCTTGCTGCGCCGGGGCCTCGTGGAGCATGCTGTGGCGCTCCTGGTCTCGTTCGGGGCCTACCTTCGGCCAGGCGAATGCGACTCGCTCACGTCGCTCCAGTTGGTCGCCCCCGTCGCGGCGGCCGGAGGGGCCGCGGGCGTCTGGGGACTGCTGCGGGCGCTGGTGGAGCTGGGCAACCCCAGAAAGACCAACAGCTGGGACGACGCGGTCCTCCTGGACTCGATCCCGTACGTTTACCCCTGCCTCCTGGTCTTGAAGCGCCGATGCCTGTCGCCGACGGACCGCATCTGGAGCTACCCGCCGGGAGACCTCTCGACCATGCTGGCAGTGGCGGCGGCGGAGTTCCAGCTGACGCACCTGGGGATCACACTCTACATGCTTCGCCACAGGGGAGTGTCCCACGACATCCTGTACCGGCTGCAGACCCCGTTGGAGGCAAAGCTCAGGATGCGCGTGGCGTCAGACTCGACTTCGAAACGGTACGCCAAGCAGACGAGGGTAGTCTCAGAGCTGGGCAGGGCGCCGCCGCTGGTGGTGACCTTCGGCAACCGCGTCTCGTCCCTGCTCGCCGCCATATTCGCCGGCATGGTCTCGGTGCCGAGCCCGCCCGCGCTGCCAGGCCACCAGGGTGCTCTGCAGACCGCCTGAGTGACCGCCAGGTTGTTGCCCGAATGCGTTCTTTGCTCAGGGCAGCGCTGTCGGCTGCCACTCGCAACAAGCGACAGATTTTTCTGGAACTCTTTGCAGGCTCCGAGGGGCTCAGCCGAGGGGTGAAAAATCTGGGGTACGGTGTGATCGCTGCCGACATCGTTTCTCGTCCGTGGTTCGATCTGGATCGGCCTGTCATCCAACGCACCCTTCTCGGCTGGGTCTCCTCAGGGCTCGTGCTGGCCGTATGGCTGGGCACCCCGTGTAACACGTGGTCCCAGGCGCGTCACGGCCCCCCAGAGTCCAGCTGGTGTAGACTTCGTGCTCCCCATGCAATCTGGGGGCTTCCAGGCCTTCAGGGCCGAGCATTGGCCGCGGCTCGGCACGGCAATAGTCAGGTAATTTTTTCTCTGAGGATCATTCGAGCCTGTCTGCGCCTTGGGACCCCTGCCTTCCTCGAGAACCCTGCCTCCTCCTTCTTGTGGTCTGTCCCCCCTCTCTTGAAACTCGCCTCTCACCCTAGCTCTCAAAGCTTTCTGTTTGATTTTTGCGGGTTCGGGACCCGATGGAGGAAACGCACTCGAGTCCAGGCGTGGTGCAGCGGATTCAGAATCCGCCTGCCCCAGTTGTGTAATTTGCGTTGGGGGATTTGCGCCCACACGCACAAACGTCACATTGTCCTCACAGGTCGTGACCCTGCTTCTGGAAAGCTCTGGACACAAGTCGCGCAAAGCTACCCCAAGAGGATGGCCACCTGTTTCGCTTCTGCAATTATGCATACCGTCCAGAGCCTGCACCTGGCCCGAGTGCAACGAATGTTATCCAGTTAATCGTTTTTGACGGCATTTTGCCAGTAACCATCTTGGGACTTGGGGTCCCTCTCCCCTCCTCTCCTGGTCGGTGGTGGTGGTGTGTCCTCCTTCCCGCTCTCTCTCCTCCCCCACTGCCCGCGCTCTCTGGCATGAGTCGGTCCGTGTTCAGTGATCTCTCGCCTGGCCTGCGAACACAAAATCGTTCTCTGGCACGGGTGGCGCTCGGGATGGGTGCTCTTGAACTTTAATCCTGGAGCAGAATGAGTGCCGCTGGACAATGATGTCCATTTCGGATCTGCCATCCGCAGCCTTTTCTCTCGCCCGCCCTCCCTCCCCTTTTTCTCCTCCTGGTCGGTGGTGGTGGTGTGTCCTCCTTCCCGCTCTCTCTCCTCCCCCACTGCCCGCGCTCTCTGGCATGAGTCGGTCCGTGTTCAGTGATCTCTCGCCTGGCCTGCGAACGCAAAATCGTTCTCTGGCACGGGTGGCGCTCGGGATGATGATCATGATGATGATGATGATGATGATGACGATGACAATGACGATGACGATGACGATGATGATGACGATGATGATCATGATCATGATCATGATCATGATGATGATGATGATGATGCTGATGATGATGATGCTGATGATGATGATGATGATGGTGATGATGCCCACGAGTACCACAGCGCTTGCGACGAGTATGATGATGGTGGTTGCGATGGTGATAATGACATTGATGGTGGTGCGAAGGAGGTGGAGGAGCAGGAACAGGAGGGGGAGGAGGAACAGGGCGAGGAAGGCTGTCACATGTGACATGTGACGCCTCTTTCCCCAATTGGTAAAGCGCTCTCGCCGCCGTTGCTTTCGACAGTCTCGGGTGGAGTGCCAGAAGTGGAGGGGGAGGGCGAGGGTGGAAGACTAGCTTCTTGTGAGCGCCACATCTATAGAATGGCCTTCGGCCCATTCCGCCACCGCGCCTGAGGTGTGGGTCAAGGGCCTCTGGGATGGATACCAGGGGTCTGTGGGGATGCCTCTTGGGGGGCTCTTGGAGGCCTCTCGGGGCCTTCTGGGGCCTCCTGGGGGGCTCTTGGGTGCCCCTTGGGAGCGGGTGTTCTTGAGCGGGCAGTTTCAAACTGTCCGTTCGGGTTCCCCCTCTGGTTCCCCTCCTGCATTGATTTGATTTGCATCCTGTATACGAAACTATGTACCTTTCGTGGCCGCCTTGTATGCTTGCCGTATACGTCTTGCGCATTTTCCAAGTACGTGTCAGATGCGTTTGGTATGACGTTTTGCACGCATGCTGGATGCGTTGGAGATACTCTGTCGGTACGTCTGTATACAAGTACGAACGCGCCGACCCCCGCCTACCGCACTACCATTCAATATGTGATTGGTTCTTCTATATGGGATCAATCTGGCATGCCCCGGCCCTCGCCTCCTGCAGGACTGTTTGATCTTCGATGTTATGTTTAAGCGGGGTCCACTGCCAAATGTGCGAGAGAGCGTGATCCACCGCCGCTTTACTATGGAAAATTCCCCCCCCCCCTCTTCCTCCGGAACCCGGGGTTGCCCCCCCCCCTTCGAAAATCCCCCCCTTGCTGGAACCCCCTCCCTCTCCCCCCCCTTCTCTCGGCAAAACCGCCCCCCCCCCTCCCGAACCCTTCGCCCCCTTCCGGAAAGTCGGGGGGTGGGGTCACTACCGGTTCGAACCCCCCCCCTCCAGAAAACTGGAGGGGGTCACTACCGGTTCGAACCCCTCCCCCCCTCACCGCTGGCAAGCGACTCCCTGCTTCCCACCACCGTCCGCACCACATCCCCCACCGCTGTCCCCAGCACCACCGTCCCCACCACTGTCCCACTGTCCCCACCACTGTCTCAGTGTCCCCACTGTTCCCACCATTGTCCCCGCTGTCCCCAGTGCCCCCACCAGTGTCTCACTGTCCCCACTGTCACCACCATTGTCCCACCACGGTCCCACCCTACCCATTGTCCCCACTGTCCCCACCACTGTCCCCCCACTGTCCCCCCACAATTCCCACCACTGTCCCACTGTCCCCACACCTCTGTCCCCACCACCACCGTCCCCACAACTGTCCCAGTGTCCCCACCACTGTCCCAGTGTCCCCACTGTTCCCGCCATTGTCCTCGCTGTCCCCACCAGTGCCCCCACCAGTGTCTCACTGTCCCCACTGTCCCCACTGTCCCCACTGTCCCCGCCGCTGTCCCACTGTGCTGTCCCACTGTCCCGAGTGTCCCCATCACTGTCCAACTGTCCCCACTGTCCCCACCACTCTCCCCACTGTACCACTGTCCCACCACCGTTCTCACCACCGCCTTCACCACTGTCCCCACCACTACCGTCCCCTCCACTGTCCCACTGTCCCCACTGTCCCCACCACTGTCCCGCTGTCCCCTCACCACCGTCCCCCTGCCAGAATTCCTTGTGAAATACGTTGGCACCTGCCGCCAGCAAAATCCGTTTGCTTTTCTGTTTGGAGCATGTTTTTAAAAGGTCTGGGCGATAATAACAGCCGTGAGCGGCCCTCTCCCTCCCCCCGACCCCTGGATCACGTCACGTTATTTTGCCTACGGTTGTAAAGATCCTCTAAGGTTTCGAGGATGTCTTAAGATGTTCCCCAATCAGTGATTGCATTGAAGGGGCCCTAGCAGAAGTTGAAAGATTTGGCGAAAGTTTCCCGCCGATTTTGGTAGCAGGTTGGGTTCCCGGGTTCACAGGTTCCCCGTTATTGGTTCCGGGCCAATTTCGGTGGGTTCTGGGTTCCCGGGTTCCCGGGTTCCCGGTCAATCTCTTCAGCAAAAGCCATCCATTGATTAGGGTTTTTCTCTGGTTCCGGATGCGTTTCGAAGTCAAGTCATCCATGTGCCATAGATGTTGCGTATACGTTTTGTGCACAGCCGGCCTACGTGTTGCATGCGTATCTGAAGCGTTCCGCATGCGTTTCGTATGCGTCCCTCCTGACTTTCGGATGCGCGTCCCACCCATTTCGTATACGGATGATGAGGTTTCGCATATGTTTTGGATGCGTTCGTTCACACTACCGTCTTGGAGTGCGCTGAGCTTATATAATGCCCTCCTGGAGTACTTCGAACTCGCATATGATAACTCAATGGGTCCCATTTGCGCACCATGAACACCGAGTGCGTCCCCTGAACTGATACCACCAACGCGATCATGCCATAACAACGATTTGCATAGTCTTGTCAGCGGTCGGGATCTGGACCGCTCCGGTTTTCTTACCGGTTGGTATTTGGACCGTCCCGTTGGGATCAGGGGAGGGGGATCGGCCCAGTATAGTGGGGAAGGGGTGTGGAAGAAGAAGAGGAAGAGGAAGAAGAAACAGGAACAAAGAAAACGAGGTCAGGGAGCGGCAGGGGGGAAGGGAGGGGGATGGGAGGGATCGGGAGGGGATGACGCGGGGAAGGGACGGGAGGGGAGAGGTAAGAGGAGGGAAGGAGAGGGGGGGGGGGGGGGGGCTAGGGCGGCGGCATGGCGCAGATCCCCTCTCTACTCGCACAGTCGGATGTCGAGCAGGGCAATGATCCCGAAAGGGTAGCGATGCATTGTAGAGCACGGCATGGCATGGCGTAGAAGAGCACCGCAAAGCGTAGTACCAACCTAGCATTGCATTGCATGCCGTGGCATGGCACGGGAAATGACGCCAGCGCTGCAGCGGGAGCACGATTCGGAACGAGCGGGAGCGCGGAAATGAGGCCAGCATTGCAGCGGGAGCACGATTCGGAACAAGCGGAAGCACGGAAATGAGGCCAGCGCTGCAGCGGGAGTACGATTCGGAACGAGCGGGGCCCGAAAATGAGGCCGGCGCCCGGCAGCGAGAGCAGCATTTTGAAAAACAATGCAGGCGAAAACCCAACTCCGGGGAATCCTGTGTGTAAAATTCAGTACGCGGGGGGGGGCGAACACTCCCAACCCGTCATCAGGAGAAGGAGGAGAGTAGTATTCATATTGAGTAATTGTAAAGGGGAGAGAGAAGCCAGGACTGGGGAGCAGGTGGGGAGGAGGGAGGGGAGAAGATGGGGAAGGGGCGAGTAAGTGGGTATGGGCGAGAAGGAGAGCCGGGGGGGGAGGAGGAGGGGGGGAGATCTGTGTCGTCGTCGATCTGGGTTCCCGCAGAGGCGCTCAACTCGGCCGAGCCGCGACGGGCTCTCTACGGGGGAGAGACCCCGACGCTGTTGAGAGAGCGGTACAAGGACGCCCTCCCCACCATCCTTGACGACCTTCTTCTGGGGCCTTTTGCGCGGTCTCCTCCTCTTTCTCTTGCTCTTTCTCCTCTCTCTCCATCCCCACCCCTCCAGCACCTCTGTCCAGCCACCGACTCGCACCAGTCTCGACCCTGCGCGTACGGCATGCACCCGATACGTGCCAGGGGCACACTCTTTTGGGGCCCCGAGGCGCGCCATCCCCGAACGCGCACCTGGAGGATCTGGCCTCCATGCCCAATGGCCCCAGACAGGTGCCACAGACCCGACAGGATGGATATGTTGTGTCGGGCTTCGAGTAAAGACTTGGCGAGAACATGTGCCCATATTCGACGTCCAGAGTTCAGAGAGAGGCTGGGAAGGAACACGCAGGGTGGGGGATACTTGCCCCTCGGGGGCTCTTCGTGGAGCTATGCTGGAGCCTTTCGTGGCCTCATGGGGCCATGCTGGAGCTCCGTAGGGTCATCCCACTGCCAGCTAGGGCAATTCCGGATTTTCTTGGGGATGTCTTGAAGCATCGTGGGGACTGCAGGTGTGGGCTGTGAGTAGCTCGCATAGTTCACGCAGTTTCGTTCGTCGTCTTCGTAGGATAAGCCTCCTCTGGGTACAACCTCGGGCGGAGCAACTTGTTTCGCAGTGTGCCAGTCACGACGTGGTGCAGGACGTGCTCGCCTGAATCTGGACCCCCCGAGCTGGAAAGGAGAAAGGCATCGTGGGGACATCTTTGAGCCACGCGGGGCCGCCGGCAGGGTGGGGCCCAGGGCGCGGCGCAGAAAGAAGCTCGAGGGAGAATGGCGCACGGTCGTTATCGTGGCCCCGGGATGAGCCGGCCCCTTCCAACACGAACACTTTCCCACAGCACCGCTTGGCGTGCTGGCACGCGCGACGTGCCACCGCCGCGGAGTTGGATTCGGATTCGGCCCGTCAGGGGCGAGAGGGCATCCCACGAAGTGCGAGGAGGCACGGTGTCTGATTTGACTATGGGGAACAGCGGTGGTGTCTAATGACGGACTTTGTGGGGCAGGAGGGGCCTGGGGAAGAGAGAGTAGAAGGAGGAGGAGGAGGAGGAGGAGGAGGAGGAGGAGGATAATCCAACAAGCATGAAGAAGATAAGCGGCAGGGAGGAGATGGACGACGAGCGGAGGAGCGGGAGAGGGAGTAGGAGAGCAGGGAGGAGGAGGCGGCGGCGGCGGAGGAGGAGGAGGATAATACAACAAGCATGAAGAAGATGAGCGCCAGGGAGGAGATGGACGACGAGCGGAGGAGCGGGCGAGGGAGTAGGAGAGCAGGGAGGAGGAGGAGGAGGAGGAGGAGGAGGCGGAGGCGGAGGACGGAGTCGGCGTGCCAACGCTTAAGGAACAGACACCACAAACAAGTTGGGGATGATGACGGGTGGTAGGGTAAACGAGGAGGAGGATATCGAGGGTGATGAAAATGAGAAGGAGGAAGAGGAGAAAGAGGATCCAGGAATGTTGCGTCTTTGTTGCTTTCTTGGGGTTTCTTGGGACAGACGGGGGAGAAAGGCGGAGTGAACGGGGCAGGATGACCTCTGCAATTTGGCCAGTCTTTCGGGGGGAGTCCAGCTGTAGCGAAAAGGGCGCCGACGTGAGGGATGCGTGTCGGTTTGTCGCGCCTTCTCTCCTTCCCCTCCTCTCTTTTCAACTGATTGCTTGAAACAGAACGTGCTTGATTTTAGATCCTCGGAAGCACCGGAATGAGGCCTGCAACCACGCATGCGCAATGGGACCCGACCGAGAGAACCTCAGAGATATCTTCCGAGAACGAGGCGTCCAGCACAGCGACAGAAGAACACGGGGCCGCCTGCACGAGCATTCGTGCGTGAGTTGCCCGCGCAAGGTCGCGCGTAAGCGCCTTCTTCTCCGATGTAGCCTTCCGCTCTGGCGGCCTGCAAAAGCCACCGCGCAAGGTCGCTGTGCTATCTTGCGTAAGACCCGTTTCGTGTCGCCGCCCTTTTCCCTCTCCGACACATCTTCGGTCGGCGGATGTTGAGTGTGTCGCGGGCCGCGGTCCTCGACGCGATGCTCTGCTTGCCCCCCTCCCGACTCAAAGCCAACCTTCGATCATCATTTCTCCTCACCTTGTCGGTCGCAACTCATGGGAGCTTGGTATACCCTCGTACTTCGATTAGCGTCGATTCGCGTCTGAGAGTCGACGAGGTATGGCCGATTCAGCGTCGACTAGCATCGGTGAGCGTCGCTCCGCAGGAGCCGACAAGATGGTATGGGAGGCTCCCATGGGTTGTCACCGAAACCTTGCGTCCCCAGAGCAGCCCCCCCGGGCGAACCAGGGAAGCTGCAGAGCACGCAGCGCCACGCCACGCCTGCACCATGCGGCGGAAGGAATCCACGGAGTCCGCGGCCGAGACGAAGGCTGCCAGGAAAAGCGCCCTTCATGAATGCACAGCCCCCTCCAAAGGATCTCATCCCCCCTCCCCCCTCCGCTGCCGAGGACGCCCTCGGCGACCTCGGCTCCCCCGAGGAGCCGCCGCGCTTCGGCAAGGCGCGAGGGCTCCCCCGGCCCTGACCCCCCTCTGCGCTGTGCGCGGGCGTTGGCGGCCGGCCGCCCCGAGGAGGATCGAGGAGGAGGACGGGGATCAGGAGAGGGGAGGAGGGTGAGGCGAACGAGAGGGAGGATGCGGAGGAGATGGAGTGCGAGGAGGAGGAGGGAGAGGAGGAGGAGGATGAGGATGTGGAGGAGGATGTGGAGGAGTGCGAAGAAGTGGAGGAGGAGGAGGAGGAGGAGGAGGAGGACAAACGTGGATGGCGAGAGGAGACCTGGGAGCAGGAGAGGAGGAGGAGGAGGAGGAGGAGGAGGAGGAGGAGGAGGAGGAGACGGAGAGCAATGGGAGGAGAGGATGCGCAAAGGAACAGAAGCAAGGGATGAAATACCTGATGAGGACGGAAAGGTTCTTTTGGGAGCGGGGTGGTGCGGAGGAGGGATCCTGAAGCAGAAGAGAGGCGGAGGAGTATGACAAGTGCGAAGGCTGAGGCGTGAAGAGGCGAAGAATGAATATTTGGAGGAGTGCGTCGCGACCCACTCTAGAGTTGGGCCTTCGGGGTTCCGGGAGGTGCAGAAGGCAGGTTGCCCCACGCATGAGAAGTGCCGCAGCTCCGACGTCACGTTCTTTTCATGTCTGCTGGGTTCTGGAGATGGACGTGGGAGGGCAAAGAGGAGGAGGAGGCGGAGGAGGACGAGTGACGACTCAGGAGGAGGAGGAGGAAGAGGAGGAGGAGGAGGAGGAGGAGGAGGAGGAGGAGCCTCGTTCTCCGTTCGCCTGCCCTTTCCTTCTCCTGTCGGCCCCTGCCCGTGTCCAAACACTACCTCCACTCACCACCCTTCCCCATCTTCCTCTTCGTCCTTCCTGCTCCCCCCTTCTTATCCACCGCTCCTCCCCCTGCTGCTGCTATCAAGCACTCCTCCCTGCCCCCTTCTGCGTCCTTGCTCCCTCCTCCCCCGCCTCCATGCTCCCTCCCCGCTCTCCTCCCCCAGCCCCCTGGGGCTCGGAGGCTTGGGGCCGCCTGGGCCGTTGGGCCGCCCGGGGCTCAGGGCCGGGCCTCCCTTCGCTGGGGAGGCTGGCGGTAGCTGCATGTGTACCCCCCTCGGCTCTCGGGGTGAGAGCCTTCAGCACGACGGGACACAGACTGCTGCAACGCCGAGTCCGACCGACCCTGGCCCCCGCGGGCGAGGAGAAGACCCCGCGGACCGAGAACAGGATGGATTGACACCCTCGGACGAGTGAACAACACCCGCCCGTACCCATATGGAGGTCGGAGGAAGGAGGATGAACTACGGGTTTCAGTATCGTTTAACCGATCCCCATCCCCATCTCCATCCTTTTCGAGACCCCCACCAAATTACCCCCCAGTTGGGGATACACCCCTCGAAACCCGAAGGGAATGGCCTGTATCCCCATCTAGGGGGGTAAATCGGCCAGTGAGGCCCAGGCCACGCCGCTGGGGATGGGGATCGGTTAAACGATACTCAGGTATGGGTCCAGGTGCGGGTTGTCCGACCTTGGGGGAGGCTTCCGTTCGAGCCAGGACCCCCATCCGACAACACTCGCCCACAGCCCCCGCCGCCCCCCTCGTGGGCATGGGCGTGTGCTGTTTGTTTGTCAACCTCTGAAGGGCTACGGACCCGCCGCCGTCCTCCACAGGAGGCGCTCCCCGCGTTGAGCGCGGAGCGATGTCTCAGGCGATCGCAGACATGGATCAAGGGGGCATGGATTGGCGACGGGTCCCGTTTCCATTGGAAATCGCAGATTCCCGCCGCCGAGCGGGGCGGCACCGGCCGCATTTTGGGAAGGGCACCTCCCCCGATCCATGTTTGCGCGTCCGCGAGATGTCGGCGATCGCTCGCCCGTCCCTCCGTCTCGACCCTCCCTCCTTGCCGGCGCTGCCCTCACTATGCCTCGCGGCCAGCCCGCTAGACGCTAGACTCGTTTCTTGTACGGGCTCGCCGTGCCCTGAGGCTTGAGATTCGGGGTCAAGCTCTCGAGTCCTCGAACTGCTTTTGTCAGGAGGGAAAAATATCACAGACAACACGAATCGTCGATTCCCTTTCAAAATATGGGAAAATATGGGAAGTGGGGGGGAAGACAGACACCTAGAAAATATAGGAAAATATATTGCATCCTGTTATTTAGGGACAAATATCGGGAAATATGGGTGTCTATTTATTGAATCGCTTCGCTCATTCCGCCGGCCCGTATTGTGCCATCGCGGGGTCTTGGGGGGTCTTGGGGGCCTTTGGAAGCTTCGTGGGAGCTTCTTGGGAACTTTGGGAGGCCTCGTGGATGGCTCTGGGTGGGCCCTCTTGGTGGTCTCTTGGGGGGGTCTGCCTGGCCTCTTGGGGGCCTCCTGGGAGCTTCCTGGGGGTCTCTTGGGGGCCTCTTGGGGCTTTCTTGCGGCCTGTTGGGGGCCTCTTGGGGCTCTCTTGGGGGCTTCGTGGGCCTACTTGGGGGCTTGTAGGGGTGTTTCCCGAGAGACCCAGAGGCCCTTCAGATTACTTCCGAGCCTCTCCCCTCTTGGATCTGTATCGTAGCCGTTAGGCTTAGCGTGTGAGTTGATTGCTCGCCCTGGCCCTCGTTGCCCAAAAGAGTTCATCCGTTCTCTGCACACCTTGGTGCCGTTTTGCACCACATGTCCTCTCGTCTGTGACAGTGGTAAGCGGAGCGTCATGAGTGGCGACGCAGAGGCGTTGACAACGCTAGGCGACGAGGGCGCGGGACAGCACGAGACCCGCGCGGAAGGAGAAGACGCCAGACAAGCAGGTGGTCCAATCCAGCACGACATCTCCACGCCAGTCCAGGGCACTGGCGGATCCGAGTGGGAAGGGCACTCTTGGGATTCTTGGGGATGGCATCGTTGGGACTCTTGGGACTTATGGGACAGTCAGTGGGAGTCGCAAGATTGGAGTAGACGAGAGTACTCGAGCTGGGACTGGAAGTGGCGAGAGACACCGAATCGAGATTTCGGGTCCCCGCCGCCATGGCTGGGCCTGGATCACCTCGAGACCTACCGTCACAACGTCATGGCGTGGTCGCGGAGGACAGGCTTCCGTCCGGAGACGCAGGCAGCTCGAGTACTAGAGGGACTGCCGATAGACATGCAGGTCAAGTTTCGTACGATACGAGCGGAACTGGACACGGACAAGGGCATCAACCGGATGCTCGAGCACCTGGCGCTGCTCAGCGGCGAGAGACCAGGGGACAGAGCCAGGTCTGCACAGAACGCCGCACTCTTCCAGTACATGATAAGAAAAGGAGAACCGTTGACAGAATACGTGGTCAGGCGTGACGCTGAAATAGCCGAAGCCGAGAATCACGGCCTCAGTCTTCCCGATGAGGTCAAGGCCAGATTTTTGGAAGAGGGCGCCGCTCTCAGTCAGCAGAATCGTCTGAACATGCGCACGTTTGCAGGAGGACGATCGGATCTGGCTTCAGTGAGGACTGCGATCTTGATGTTGGACGTCAAGGAGTCGCAGAGCGCCCTGCCCACGAGCCACGCATCGGTGACCAAATCGTTCGTGGCAGACGGAGACCAGATCGACGAAGAGGCGCCGCCGCCTCCGACTCCAGCGATGGGATCAGACGAGATCTACTTGAGCGAGATCGACGATTCCATCGAGCTTCCTGAGGATGATGTGGACAACTTCATCGCGACGCTAGAGGACCAAGACCTCGGTGAGGAAGAGGTCCTTCAGATCTTTGCCGCGGTGGTGGAAGACCGCCTGGGCAAGGACCAGCGCCGGACCTGGGCAGAGGCGAGGCGCATGAAGGCGGCTCGCAAGGTGGACCGCGACTTCTTCGATCGCCGCCGTGCCTCCCGACCAGGGTTCAAGCGCATCACGATGATGGACGTGAAGAAGCGCACCAGGTGCGCCAACTGCGGGGGCCGCGGGCACTGGGCGGAGGCCTGCCGCAACGCGCTCAGGTCCAAGACGGATCGGCTAGCAGCGGAGAAGGCGAAGAAGCCAGAGACGAGCGCCAAGAGCTTCTTCTGCGACCTGCTGCCGAACGGCGAGAACTTCTTCGCGGCCGACGCTGAGAGCAGCGAGAGCATCTTCGGGAACCCCGAGGGTGAGATGTTCGCGGGGATCGCCGTGGACCAGATCAACGAGATCCTGAAGACGTTCCAGGTGAAGAACAGCGAGCTGTCCTTGAGGCAGCTCGGCGACCACGCGCTGGTGGACACGGCGGCCGGACAGGCCTTGATAGGCCGCGACGATCTGACCGTCATGAACGAGGCCTTTGAGAAGAGAGGCTTCAGGATCCCGATCATCGAGGGTCCGGTCCCTGGGATCACCGCCAGTGGCATTGTGGAGCCCGTGGCAAGGGCATTCGTTCCAGTAAGCCTCTGGAGGAACGGCATCGTGGAGTTCTTGGTGCTGCCGCAACGATGCCCCCCACTTCTTCCTGCCAGGCTGCTTGAGGCCATGAAGGCCGTGATAGACTTGGGTCACGACGAGATCGTGCTCGGAGACCAGGATCGTGTCCGTCGAGAGCTTGTGCGACATCATGCCGGTCACAGGTCGGTGTCGCTCATCCACTGCGAGCCGCAGGACTTCTCCGTGCACCAGGACATCCTGAAGCGCTTGCCCGAGGAGCTCCACAGGACATGAGGAGAGGGTAGCCGATCTCTTTAGGCAGCATGCTCTATCCAGTCTTGATAATTATCGCTCCTTCTTGGGCTCTAGTCTGAGGGACACTCTGGGGTCTCGGAATGCAGCGGCCCGTTTTTCGGGGTCGATTTTCGTAGACATTCCGGCTCGAGCGGAGGTTGAGAGGCCAGAGAGGGTACCCGTGCGGAGTTCAAGAGATGGTCAAGAAGGCCGGGTCCATGAAGCCTGGCGCCTTGAAGGCCGGCGCCCCGATGAGGAGGCGCGCCGCCACTCGCCTTCGGAAGATCTTCGAGGATCCGGAGGAGGAGTGGGGGGATATCCCCGAGACCCTGTACGAGGTGGACCTATCAGACGAGGCAATGACGGAGGATCAGCGC